CCGTTGCCCTTCTCTGGCCACGCTCGAGTCATTCAATGGCCTTTTTGGGGTGAGGGGCCCAGAACTGAACCCCCTCAGTGAGGGGCGGCCTCCCCAGTGCCAAGCCCAGGGCTCAGATCCCTTCCCTGGCCCTGCTGGCCGCGCCAGTACTGATTCACACGTTCTGAAAACACGAGGCGAAGCCCAGGGGCACAATAATGGGAAGTGATCAATCATTACACTCCACGAAACTACAGTGTCCCCCTCCCACTCCAGCTGTTGATAGAGAAATGTTGCCAGGAGAAAACATCCCCCCACACCCACCCTGGATTCAGCTCTGGTGAAGAAGAAACCCCCAAGGGCTGAGGAATCCCCCAAATCCCTGAGAGAAGGGCAGCTCAGGGGGGGCTGAGGGGGTGTCTGAGATCTCACAGCCTCCACGGAGATGCCCCGATGTGCTGTGGAAGGGGGTGCAGGGTGCTCTGGGATACGGGCACCTCTGCCCAGAGCAGTGGGGCGAACGGGGGGGCATCCCCCCGCCTGATTTGGGGCCAGGCTGCTCTCAGTCCGTCCGGGAGAGGGGAGGGAAGGTGCTTTCCTGGGATTATAAACGGAGAAAGGAAGAGCTCTGCCTCCAGGACACTCACCAGCAGTCTCGTCGTTAGAGCGTAGGGCGAAGGAAGGTTTGCTACAAACAGAAAAGGGAAAAAAAAAAATAAAATAAAAAAGAGCCTAAGCCAGCATCTCCCACCAAGCTGGCTAGCGACCCACAGACGAGCCCCGAGCGCCAGCACCGACTGTCAGGGCGGCCAGTACTGACCATTCAGGTCGTAACGGATAGGGAGGCGTTTTCTCCCTCCTCTTGCTTCTTCGTGGCCAAATACATGAGGCTCTTGCAGAGTGGGGTCAGGGCGTTGGTGAACTGTATCGGGGTCACAACTCCAGGAGGTACGGCCACAGGACCTGCCGGGAGAGGGGGACTGTGGCACTCGCCCTGCCTGCCGGCACGGGGCGGCCACCAAGGCCCGGCTGCGGGATGGAGACGCCAGGTCAAAGCCTTTGGCCAGTGGGGAAAATCCCGGAGGCCCCTCAGTCAGTGCTGTCCTTCAGGAAGGGAGAGGTCTCGGTGCTCCACTCCAGCAGCACCAAAGCTCCGGCCTAGGGTGTTCCCCTTCATCGACTCAAGGGCTGGGGTGGGAGGGATCTTAAAGCCCATCCAGTGCCACCCCCTGCCCCAGCCACCTTCCACTAGCCCAGGTTGCCCAAAGCCCCGTCCAACCTGGCCTTGAACCCTGCCAGGGAGGGGGCAGCCACAGCTTCTCTGGGCAGCCTGTGCCAGGGCCTCACCCCCCTCACAGGGGAGAATTTCTGCCTTAGATCTGATCTAAATCTACCCTTTTTTATTTTAAAACTGTTCCCCCTCATCCTATCCCTCCGCCCTGATGACGAGTCCCTCTCCCCTTTCCTGCAGCCCCTTTCAGCCCCGGGGGGCCGCTCTAAGGTCTCCCCGGAGCTTTCTCTTCTCCAGCTGAACCCCCCAACTCTCCCAGCCTGTCCTCACAGGGGGGGCTCCAGCCCAGCCCCTTGAGCATCCTCTGGCCCTGCTCCTTGTCCTTCCTGACCCGAGCACTTCCAGGGCTCCTTGGGAGGAGCTTCCCAACCCCGACCCTGCGCCACTCCCGGAGGGACAGGGATGGGAGTGGGGACAATCTCCATGCCGTCTGGCAGAGGGGCCATCCCGCCCATCACAGGGGTGGCACGGCCATGCCGAGGGCAGTGCGGCAGCTCCAGGGCCAGCCCCTGGGGTGGAAATGCTGACACAGACTCACGTTGTTCATCCTGTCCACAGTGGTGCTGAGGAGAAAGAGCGTATTGACGCTGATGCTCCGGACAGAGTCACTCGCGAGGTCATCGGCATCCAGCGGCTGCTTTTGGGCTGCTGGAGGAGAGGGGAAGCGCAGGTCAGCACGGAGGCAGTGGCCAGCACCCCCAGGGGACACGTCTCCCCGTCGTGACGTTGAGACAACGTGCTGGGTAGAATCCAAAAGCCTCCCGGCCCACCCCCAGCACATGCTCCAGCTCTCCCCACGGCACTCAGAGGGGTGGCAGGAGCCCCAGGCCATGGCTCCTGCTCCTCTGGGAGGGAGAACGGGATGAGCCCAAGGGTGGTTTTAGTTTTAGTCGTGCCCACGTCTCAGCTGGACACGCCTGATCCAGCCTGGCGATGCAGGGCATGGAGGGGCAGGAGGCGACGCCCCCGTGTCCTGGCTGGTGCCCTTTGGGGACAGGGACAGCTATCCCAGCGGCATCTCTCCCACCCCCGAGGTTTGTCCCAGCTCTGGAGGGAGGAACCACAACCCAAGTTTGGGGGAAAGACGAGGAGGAAGCTCCAACGCTGCTGTGTGAGGGCTGGGGCGGGGAGGTGGGTGGCAAGGAGGGGCACCCCGAGGGGCTGAGGTGGGGACCCTGCACGGGGACAGGAGCATGGGGCGGTTGGGACACTTTTCTCCCGGAGCAAGAGCTGCCTGGGGGAGGGTTCGGGGGTGGGGGGGCCGCAGGAGAAGCGAAGGAAAGCACCAGCCTCCTGCCAGCTGCTCCGCTCAGAGGAGAGCAGGGGCTGCTCGGGAGAGCTCTGCAGGCCCTAACCCTAATAACCCTTAACCCTAACCACCCTAATAACCCTAATCCTAACAACCCTAGCCCCTAACAATCCTCATAACCCTAACCCTTAGCCCTAACAACCCTAATAACTCTAACCCCTAAACCCTAACAAACCCTAACCGCTGAACTCTAACCCCTAAACCCCAAACCCTTAACCCTGACTCCTAAACCCAAACCCTCACCACCCTAATAACCCTAACCCTTAACCCTAACAACCCTAACTCTAACCCTTAAACTCTAACCACCCTAATAACCCCAACCCCTAGCCCCTAAACCCCAACCCCTAACAACCTTAATAACCCTAACCACACTAATAACCCCAACCCTAATAACCCTAAACCCAAACCCTAACCACAAACTCTAACCACACTAATAATCCCAACCCCTAAACCTCAACCCTTGACCCCAAACCCTAAACCCAACCCCTGACCCCTAACCCTAACAATGCTAATAACCCTAATCTCTAACC